CACGGCCGGGACTGTTAAGAACGGCGACAGAAATGGGGAGCGTTCACCCGCATACAAATTGATCCTTTTTGCTGGCGGGCTCGCGCGTCCTTAACAGCACCTACGGTCGCGTCTCCCTCACAATCCGCCGAAAAACCGGCCCAAACACACGGCTACAAGGGGGTTGTCGCGTTTTGTGGAAACAATCAGCAGGTTGTCGCGAAACAAGGATATGAATGCATAATCAGCGCAGTTAACACGGTTGCATGCCGTGTTCACCGACTCTTTTTTTGTTTCGGGCCCTCCCTCAAAGGACGCCGCTTTTGTGCCCGGGTCCAACCGTGCGAGGAGACGGAAGGAATGAGGGTCGGAAAGACGAAGGACGAGAGGAACGTAAGTCCTCACGACGATATATACGATCGATGTCTTGCATGGCAAAATCTTTTTCTCTTATTGTTTTTCCAACTCTTCGCCATCCACGATGCTCCGCATTAGTCGCTCCTTGAAAAATTCTCTCTGACTTCTCAGAGAAAAATTCTAGACTTTTTTCTGATTAAGGCTTTTTTCTGATTAGGCTTCTTTCCCTTATCTTGAATTTTTTAAAATATCTTTGTGATATTGGATGCTTTCCAGCAAGAGAGACAGAAAATGTTACACAGTTTAACGCAATGAATTATTACATCCTTATTATTTGCCACTAAACAGAGATGAAATGGTCACTGTGTTAAACTATACCTTTTGCTGGAAAGCACCAAATGCCTTATTATTGTAGGCGTATACGTGTCATTTAAAATATAAATATAATTATTACAAAATGCTCAAAGAATATTATTTAAAGTTAGTATTTTAAAAAATCCATACATCGATACTTTCTTTGAATTTTAAAGATGATAGAAAGTCCTCGTTTTATATATATTAGGTGTTGGAATTAATTCGTAGCGTTTTTTAATGAAAGAATGTTATTTATTTCATATGAGCATTAAAAAATACATTAATGAAAGTACTTCCCATCACTTGTAAAACGCTACGAATTAATTCCAACACCTAATAATATATATGTGTTATCTAAGGACGCGCAAACTTTGACAAAAATGTAAAGCAGAATAGTAAAATATTTGCTAATTTTTCGAAAATATAAAATACGTAAGAATGAATCGGAATTTCCATGTACAATCGTGGCGAAATGCCAAGTAATCTTTCGAATAAAAGACTAAGCTGAAAATACTGTTCGGTCTGTTTAAACTTAACGGTTCTCCAGGGAAGATTTCTTACTGCGCTGTTTCTCTCTCGTACTCCTAACAGCGGTTCTCACTAGGAACATGTCTCGCTATATGGAGAACCACGCCTCTTAATCTCCCCTTGTAGACGTTGATAAAAAGCTCGTGCGATCGGTGCATACGCCAGTTTGCAAACAACAAACGCGAGCATGCACGGCGTCGCCAAGACATTTTCGCAGGGCACCTTCGACGTTACTTCTTATCGGATCAGGTATGAGAGAAGGGTAGATTACGCAGGTACACGAAGAGAAAAGTTAACGAGGCCTAAGGCAGACACGCCTTGGACGATCAGCGATTAGTCACTGAGAAGTATCAAAGAGAGCGTACTGATCTGTTCGGCACAACAATGACAAATGCATTTCGTTTATGAGAAACAAAAAAGTGCAAGAAAGTCTTCGCTCTTTGATGCAGGTCATTAAATTGTTATTTTATCTTGTTCAAAAGTTTAATAATAAAGTTTAAAACAATAATTATATTTTTGTTCTGCCTGTATAGAGCAAATTAATAACAAAGCAAAATTGTCAGTAAGAAATTTTATATATAAAAATTATATATATAAAAATGAAAAATATAAACATATAGCATACAATATTAATGTAAGTCTTATATATAACATAAAATAATACCTAAACATCAAATGATAATTGCAGTTCGTGAGTAAGAATGAAGAAAAAGCAGTAAATAGAAACAGAGAAAAAATTTATGACATTATATTTAAATGTATACATTATATTGACATGAATAATTTGGATATATAATACAACAAATAAAAAATGAATGTGCAATCTAGTTCAATAACAAAAATACATGAGATTGTATTATAAGTAATGTTCTAGATCACACATAATATATCTTATTTAATAAGAAATATATTAAAAAATAAGCAAAAATTAATTAAAAATTGTTTTTACTGTAATGAAGTTTCAGAAGTGATGCATAAAATATATGATGACGGAGAATTGCATGGATATTATTTATACGTTATAGCATTACGATCGGACAATAACCGGCTAGTAATCGGAGCTGATGCCCGCTTTATTTCTTATCGCGACTGTAAATTATTGTATTTCATAGCTTTTTTAATCACAGTGAAATTTCAGCACTGGAGCGTCGCGAATTGCAAAACGTGTCGCAAATTGAGAAAGAGAAATGCTTCTTTTTTCCACAATATGAAAACATTAACTAGTTCTTATTATGCAAGTTATGGAGATTCGTAACACTTTGTGAGATTTTGTCTAGTATTAAGAAAATGTTCGTCATTATTCTCTTGTCGATTCTTTAAAATTTTTCTTGTATTGTGTAGCAAGATAATCATAAATTTCTATACCAAATATTGAGCAAACACTGTATTTCAACAATGGTTACGATAATAATAGAATGGATTTTCTACAGAAAAAAATTATTGTATTAACCTTCCTTATAAAAGTATATATGTTAAATTTAAGTTTACTTGATTCTCCGCATTTTATGCGGACTCTTGTAAAGTCGCAGGACGAATGACAAGAAGATTTAAAATATATTTATACTGTGCGCGCGCTTTGCGTCACAGTCGCAATCAAAAACAGCTATAAAGATAGGATTAAAGTCTCCCTGAGACGAACGATAAAAATTTGCAAGTCCCAGCCATGCAATTAAGCGAAGTGTCGACGGCGCCCCAGTCCTTTGAGTTCGGGTTAATTCCGCCATTCGAACGGTACGTCTGGAACCGGTTCGCAGCCTCGTAATCCTCGTACCATGTCGTCGCATTTCTGACGAAGTCACCAGTGCAAACCCTCGTGATTTACAAATGTAACGTATCAGAAACATGTTCATTATTCTGTATAAAGTAAAAAAAAAATCTTGAAAAAGTGTTAAATTTATTAACTGGTCAAAAGTTTATAAAAGTAACAGAAAATTTTTATATAAATATATATATATATATATATACATATATATTGTATATAATTAAAATGCAAACATGTCAATATATATTAAGTCGATTTCTTTCGGATTATTTCCTGTTCTTTTGAGGGTTTGTACTGGTTTGCGAAAGTGTGTACTGTGTGCAGACTTGCATACGCGACATGTTACGATCATTCTGTTATTCGAGCAGCACTCCAGGGTCTCCCACGTCTTTCTCGTTGGCAGACAGCGTGGTATCGCAACGACCGAGAAGAATCGCGCCGTGGAGGGCGGAGATAAACACGTAGCACTATCACGAGCGACATGATCAAGCGCCTCGTCGTCGATGGCTCGTCGCCGGGTATCGATCGTAATTAATAGGGACGATCTGAAGAGGCAACCTTAACGAGACACCCGCAATCAAACTGCCGCCGCGCGCGCGGCTCGACGTCATTTGTTTAAGTTGATCCTCGCTTGTCGCATCCGAATAAGGGAACTCGTGTTCGCCACTCCGCGGGGAGTGCGAAAGAACAAAGAGGGAACCGAGTATGTGAATGTGTGTGAGTGTTGGGATGATCTCTTTGGATGAGATTGCGACGAAAAGGAGGGAACGGGAATGAGAGAAAAAAGGGAGGAACGGACAAGCGAACAGACACCTGCTGTTAGCTGCATTGTCTTCCTCTCTTTTTCGATCTTCGCCCCTTCTTTCTTTGCCATCTCCTCGTCTTTCTCTTCTTCGTTTCTTCTTATTTTTCCCTTGCCATCTTCTAGTGCGATACACTCCGTCGAAGGTAGTCCATAAACGAGGCGATGACACAACACTACCACTCTAGAAGATGAGTGAATGCTTTTTTGTAGCTACATGCTTTTTTGAAATTAAGGACTGGAGATCGAGTATAAAAACCATTTGATGCCGATACAGATTAAATTAATGAGAGAACTGAATATATGATAAAAACGTAAGGTTAAACATTTAATTACAACGAACATAATCTTTTTTCTTTACTTAACACGAAATGAACATTAATTTAATGCTTTTAACTACAGAAGTAAGTAATTTTCACGAAATTAATATTTGATGTCATTACATAGCATTAATGTTTATTTTCTAAATAAAATGGATAATTTTATTACGCTAATTAGTTGGAATTATAAATATAATTCCAATTAATTGAAACTTAAAATGAATAGTCTGTCTACACACGACGCAGATACATTTATGATTCTGTCGCGCTATTCATCAGAGTATAGTGTAAAACACATGTAACATATATTACGTGATATGATAGAGGATGCATTCAGACACACAAAATAAATATCGTTGCCAGGGTAGTTTATGGTAGAAATATGTACTGCAAGCACACCAATCGGCATAACTCATTTTAGTGGCTGATAGTTATTGATTTATACGCGTAACTCGCGAAACACTTTAGAAGTTAATGAAAATAACAGAGATTTCAACGCGGGAAGATTTATACTAATTATCTTCTATGTCTTATCTCGCTTAATATTCGTATAAAAACGTATAATCATATTTTCATCGAACATTTAATTGTGAGTAAATCTTTATGACCTCAAGCACCCCTAAACTTTTCTTTTATCCTAAAATATACAACATCTAGCTTGAATCAGTAAGACTCGAGGATATAATTAAAGCATGATAGAAAAGAAAGTGAACGAAACATAAGTAAATGAAGCTTGTAGCACCATTTCTCCTTTTTTTAATGCAAAGAGAGATCAAGCATAAGAAATATGCTATAGAAGATTAGAGAGTCGCATTTGTATCAAACGCACATTGAGCAAATGCGGTGCTCTTAACATCGTGCGCTACTTTTCCACTGATTGCCACTTTTCTCATTTCAGACACTCATGATGACTTTAATGCCAGACATGTGACATGCACAGTGAAGAAGGGAGAGCGATGGCAGCGGCGGAAACAGTTCTGCGAAGTTCCTCCGATCTTCTCCTTGTTCGTGACAATCGACGAGTCCACGAAGCAGAAGAGGGAATCTTCACTCAGATCTTCACCTTGACAAGGCCTACGGGTTCGTGAAGGGCATGAAAGCTCATCATGTTCAACCACCGACACAGGCCACAAGCGCTGTTGATCTGCAACTTCCTCGGCGTCACATTCCTCCTACTAATCGTCGCCGATAGCTGCGATGCGTTAATTCAACCGAGTTCTACAGATGTCAGTTCAACTGAGTTCGTCAAAGGGAAAAGTGAGTGTCGTAGCTACTTCCATTCGAAAAGAGAAAGAGGAAGTTGCGAAAACGGAATTATGATCGATTTGAGAATTATTTCCGACATTAAAGTATGACTATTTGATCATAATTCTTTGCTTTCATGCATAAAATTGGAATAAATATAACAGTCCATTTTTTACAATAAAACTAACATATGCATTATGAAATTATTTAGTTACGATTAAATATAAACTATCATACATTTTTCAATTTTTTTATCGTTAATTTTAATGATTCTAAAACGATTATTGATTTTATCATTAGAAAGTACTACGGCACGTATTTATTCCATTTTTACAATTGTTACAATTATTAGTTTAGATCCTTTATAATATAAGTCGATTATATATATCATAATTATTTATCATGTAATTATATTTACTTTCTCTTCTTTTATAACGTAAGTATTCACGTTTGGAGTGACAAAATCTCTGAGGAATGTGAACATGTCGGTAATAAAAGAGAGATGGTAATCTTGCGAGCATTAGTAGCAAATCTGATGTTGGGGGAGTAACGTAATTTATCGGCGCATAAGAGTTGCTACGAGTCAGCTTTTTAATCGGAGTATGAGCATACTCCGTTCTTCCTAGCGTAGCGGAGAACCCTTGGTCGTAGATCATCGAGGGAGACCGTCTAGGAAAGTAGAAAGCGAAGCGGTGCTCCAGCTTAGCGTGGGCGTCGCTTGGCCAAAGAGTCCCTTTTACTCGTAGTACCTGGAAAGTACCGTTTCCTCTCCTATGTGGAGGGAAGGTAGAAAAGGAGAGAATGTCGAAACTGACGCCTCTTAAAATCTTACCTCTTACCATTTGTCCCTGATCGAGAGCGCCTAACGTTGCGCATGACCGTGTAAGTGCATCTATGAGTGGTGATCGAGAATGTGGTACAGCATACGCACTCTCCGACACGCAGTCCGCAAGAGGTTGACCCATATAAAGTCTGATGTTTACATTGGTGTTGATGACCGCCGCGAGATAGTTGCGTTTATTATCATTGATATATATTTATTAGGTATCAACTGTCACGTCATGCGGTTTCAATGGACCACACGCGCGGTTTACGGAAGTTACAGTTCTGCAGGCTTCGATGATTTCTTGATGAGAGTTAAGTGTCAATATAATTTAAATTCGGAACCTGAAAGAGATTTTTAATAAGAATTGATTAAAAATGCGAATGATATAAATTAATATATTTCTTAAGAGTTATATTAAGATTGTGATAATTTTACACAAACACAATTTCGTGTTTTTAATGTTGATTTGTGAATAATCAACGAAACGATTAAATTATTTATATAATGTTACAATAATACATTATGCTTTAAAGTTTTAGTCATCTATTTGTATTAACTCAAAATTATGTAGACGCAAAAATAAAAAAATGTAAATTATAAAATCATAATTCTTTAACTTTATTCTAATGCAGCAAACAGCGGTCTTCTTAGCATCACAAACATAGACAGGTGCTTATCCCAGACACAGAATTTCTTTTGTTAGATAACCGCTAAAGAGCGAAACGACACCGATTTTATTCTATAATTTTGATTTATTATATGCTTCATGAAAATGTAGGCGCTTGAAACTGACTATCATCCGCCTTAACAGTATTTGGATGATGAATAATAAATATGAATCTTCTGAGAGATTTATAATAAATTGTTCGAAAACGCTTCGATTGAATTTTATAAAAAAGTATATATATTCAGCAAACCCATTTGAATACTTTCACATAATGCTATTAGACTATTACTAACAGCCTTTATATAAATATTTAGATGAATAGTGAAATTAAATCTTGCAGCAAGTTCTTCAAAAACTGCGCCATTTTTATGGACGGCTTTTAGGATTCCATTCGCGAGTAGCAGTCTGAAACGAATTGGTATGATCAGCGAAAAGATTGTTAGAATGTCTTTCCATTAGCACAATAACCGGAGCGTGGAAGCTGCGCATTATGCAGCTGAAAAGTGCAGTTTGTCCAGCGCATTTGAACACCCAGAATTCGTTGCGGACACGAAGAGATATCGCCTAAAGTGGCCTCCATAAAGGTTTCCATTAAAATGATAAGTCCTGAGTCGATTTCTTTCTACCCATTAAAACGTTCGCCATGTTGTACTCTCTACAGCTTCTATTTTCTTGGAAGAAAAAGGTAGAATGAATGAGAGATGAACAACAAATCAAGAAGAAAAGAAAGAAAGAGAGAGAGAGAGAGAGAGAGAGAGAGAGAGAGAGAAATGATAAGATTCGGTGAGAGAGAAGAATTCACCTTGAAGGGATTATGGAGCCGCAGTAAATTAATCGACCGCCTTTATCGTTCTCGGCTTTTAAGGTGTATCATGTTTCGGAATAAAGCATCTATTAAAAGGCGAGTGCAGCCTTGATAATTCGCCACGTAAAGACGAAAGGATATTATTTACGTAAGGGAAAGGAAATGTCCGAGACATCAATTAAAAAATCGAATTCCTTTCAAAAAATTAAGTACCCCATGACAGAGCAATTTCAGAATTCATCTTCTGATGTATCTCGATTTTGATTATGCTGACTTTCGCGTAGGATACTTTTCTGACATTTATTAGAACTCATCAATTTCTGTCCGACCTCGAATCATTCGGTATGACTTGTATTATTTGAAATCTCGCTATACGTAATTTATATTGTTTATATTATTTTATTTAGTTTAATAGCCATTACAGAATTACATTTTAATTATTTTTATATTTCTAATATTAAAACCTCTATTACATTATATCATAAAACGGAATAAATAAAGTTAAAATAATTCTATGATAAAATATTTTATGAAATGTTTTAAAAACTTCTATTTTATTATATTTTGTTTTAAGTAGATAAATAATAATAACAAAAGCTATGATTATTAATAAGATTCGGTGATTCCTGCAGTTCTTAAAGTCTTATTTAATGTGTTATCTCAAAGGATAAAAGAATGTTTAATTGGCACTGTAATCGAAACCGTAAATGAATATGCCAAGAGATTGACAAGGTTTTTACTCGCATAACTTGGTCAATTATTGCCCCAAGCTCTTCATTTATTTCATATCTTCGTCGTCAGAAATAATCGACAAGCAGCAAGAAGTTTTATTCATTATACCTCTTGGCCACGAGAAGTGTCCTATTTCACTCAACATTTGAGTACCGATCTAATCTTTGAATCTCAGAGAATTCCTCTGCAGGTCAGACTCTTCGATATAGCTAGTATCATCCCTTTGATCAGCCATATTAATTATTACGATGTTTCTTCTTGGGTGGCTAGGGAATCTCGCTTTCTCTCCCATTGCTCCTTCCAGTTTCTTCACCTTCAACGGATCCAGTGGATCCTTCGGCAGATTGTATCTTCCAACGTATCCAGTGGATAAATAAGGAGTAAGTAACGAGACGGCAGAGCTGCAGGAAGAAAGATTATCGAAGCATAAGCATCCATCGGGACTGAAGCGAGATACCGCACAGTGTAGGTAATACCGTTTTCTTCGACTTATCGTCATCGACGACGTATATGTGCGTGCAAGGGCCAGACGAGGACATCTGGGAGGCATGCCTTAATTGACCGCTCGGAATATCGACGAGATCCCAGAGACGGATTGAGATGTCACATTTCCGAGGGACGTTCACATTTTTTGTCCGCCAATGAAATATAACCGTTCAATATGTTCGATGGATTTATATTTATGTACTAGAGAATTGCGTCACTGAATCCAATGAGGATTCAGAACCACCGCGCGTTTCTTTTCTACTGAAATTCCTCCTGATATGTTCTAAAAGCATTAATGTGTCTTGAATATTTGTGATCGTCTATTTGTTTTGTTTTCTTTTTTTATACAGCTTTTATTTGCTTTTTTAACATTCTTATTTAAATTCCGTTTATTTCTGCTAAAAATTTGATGGGGCATAACGTTTCTTCCAATCTTCGAAATTTTAATATTATAAACAACTTGAAGCGCAATTAAAAGTCATGGATTTACATTATTTATAATCAAAAGTATTCTTATACTATTTATAGTAAGAATAACAAATGACAATACAAATCTGATTCTTCTGACAATGAGAAATTTTTATTATTTATACACATATTCCGTGTACTGAATATTTATTGTGTGTAATAAGAAAATTTGTTTCAAAAATTTTATTATTAGTAGCAAGATTATCAGTACGATTTTAAAACTATCTAGCAAAGTTTTAATCGGAATAAGCAATGAACACGTGATGATTGTGCAAGCGCGCAGCTCTATGACTGCTCGATTCAATTGAGGCAGCATTCCAGGGAGAGATTGCACACGCGGTATAACAGATGAGCCGATTCTTATTAATCATTTTCGCCTGACGTCTCTCGCAACCTGCCTGGCGGGCATTTTGCGGGCTCGTGCGACAATCCTGAGATGAAACCGGTAACAGGTGGCCTCACAGGTGCGTACTCGTCAACTTAACGACCTCGCATTCATTTCACCAATGTGACCGGGCCGAACTCGTATCGTACGCGATATTAATGCATACTGTCGAAGGTTAATTAAGGGTTTTGGATGCACGATGACGCGCGCAATCGCGAGTGCGACGACAATGGGTGTCGTCGATATGATCGAGGTGAGATCTTTGAATGCCGCACAAATGGAGCTGTCAACGTTTTTTCTTAAGCTACACATTGTATGCCGAATCAGAGAGACTTAAGGTGGCAATCGTTGCCGATTGACGTGATGACGCGCGAAAACGCGATGAAGAGCACTGTCTCGGATTTTGCGTACAACATTGCGATGTCATTATTCAGAATGAGAGTGAGATATTGGAGAGATTCGAAATGAGATGTAAAGAATATATCTAATTTGTCTTGAATATATATACACATATATATATATATATAATAAAATTAATCATGATGTAACATACGTGATATGCATTTTCTCTATTCTACTAAATAATTTATAACATTGTATTATACAATGCAATTTTGAATAAACCTTGATAAAACTATCGCAT